AACTACTGTGCATACAAATGCAAGAAGCCATGCAGTGGCTCTGGGAGTAAAGTAGACAACACCTGTCTATTGAAGCAGCTTGATGCTGGAGAGCAATGTCTGTATGCTGTCAATAAAACTAATCACATACTGTCTCGTCCAGTTGATGGCAGTGGCTCTTGGCGTGTTGTACCAGGCAGAATGAAGCATGTCACTGTTGGAACTCATGAGATATTTGGCATTAATCCAACCAATGAAGTATACCGCTGCAAGAAACCTTGTCTTGGTGAATGGGAGAAGATGGTGTTTGATGAAGGAGACATGAAGCAAGTTGATGCTACTCTCAATGGAGTGTTTGCTGTCAGTACAGGAGCCTCCATATACCAACACAACATACCTTATTAACAAGATTAACAAGGTTGATGAGAAAAAACTGAATTTGACTTTAATATTTTGATTTTTTATATAGTTTTTGTTTTAGATACTATTCAAAAAAGATTTAATCGTTAATACAATGGCAGTTTGCAAGCATGACATATTATGAATATTATCTCATATGAACTTCACAACAACTTAAATACACATTCTCTTTACACATTTTAAATTTATAAAATATATAGCTGCAAAACATAATGTGGTCTGGCTATGTGAAACTAATTCAAATACAAAAGCAAGAATGCTTTAAGGTGTTTTTTTAATTTATCAGATCCCATGGTTTGATGCAAATTACAACAATACAACTCCAAAATAGTTGAACCCATAGTATAAACCATATCAAATAATTAACAAAACAACAATCATGCAAGCATGATATAAAAATCATGTACTTTTCTTTTGATGACACACTAAAGCAATGTCTCTTAGTTTCTTTGTCAAGTTTGATCAACTAATTGTCCAAGATTTTAGACCATGTCATCATACATCATGCTACATCATACTGTCGTCATTATGTCATTTGATTTTCCCTTAAGCTATGCATTCTATTGTGCTTGAGTCTAAGACACAATAACTACATTATGATAAAACAATTGGATCAATAGATCTAGCTGTCTTTACTTGGGATTATCCATCTAAGATGGGAAACAGTTTCATTAATCTCTAATTTTTTGATTGAGAAGTACAGGTAGTGTGTTCCACATAAAACACAAGCAAAATGGAGTGATGGCTCAACCTCCCTCATCATGATGCACACACATCACAATACAAACACGTGCAATGGCATGGCAGGATAATGATGCACCACATGATAGCATGATAGCTAGCCTATAAGGACATGACAACTGACAGCTGTATTCTTTTAAGATGACATTGACAGTCTCATTCTTCTCATTTAAAACCTATCTATGTTTTACAGGACCTCAGAGGCATCTCTAGCATCTGAAACTTGTGACTGGAAGCTGTACTCTAGCATGATGGGTGCATTTGCCATTATTTTATGAATAGATTTGCAGTAAGTGTATCAATCGTTTTCAAATATGGGTGACAATATCAATGCACTCATATATGCACTCCCTTGTATAGATACTCCTGAAGTTCGAGATACCAAATCACATGTATGGTAGATTTGTCTACATTGTTATGGTGAGGTGAGGTCACAAGGCTCAGCAAGCATCAAGTTATTGTTTATACTTTTAGATAAGCTTATCTAAACATAAGGTTATGATGTAAACTGTTATAGTGCAAAGTACATCTCATCATTCATCAATAGTATATAGCTCTATTTCATTTCCTGTAGTAGCACTACATAGCTAAATGATATCAAGTGCGATCTAGTGATAGAATACTTGGACTTGTTACTTATATACTAGCTACAATTGACAAAAATGAAAATTTTTCAAGCTCTCATAATCTCAGTCTCTTTATTATGGGTAAGCCTGATTTCATCACTGCCATAAAATGTTCTTTAGAATGCTACAGGAGACTTTACACTGTCATTCCAGTTTCATCGCTACAGCAATCCTTCTGATCGTGATGTTAATGGAAACTGTTGTGATACTGCTCAGAGGGTCATATGTGGCTCCTGTGACACTCATTTTAAATCACTTTGTCTAAGAAATGGAGGAACATCACATTCCCAAACCGGTCAATGCATACCTGGCACTGTTTTAAGTCCTGGAGGGGTTGGTGGAAGCAGTGTAAACTTTAGTGCCCACATTGGTGTCATTTCAAATCCTTTTGGCTACAATAAATCTGGAAGTATTTTACAAGTATCTATAACAATAATTTTTTCAATATTATGTATAATTTTTCTTTTTTGGGTAGTCTGGGTTTCAGTTATACTTGGAAGTATGGGACGATGATCAATTTAGTGTTGATGACTTAATTGACAGAATAGTATTTAACATTTCTAATCACACTTCATCTCAAATATCACACACTGCAATCGGTGTATTTAGCAGAGTTTCATTATTATCCAGTTATAGGCTGTTATGCAGTGTGAATTATTATGGATTTGATTGTTCAGTCCTCTGTATACCCTATAATGATGATACTAATGGACACTATACCTGTAATAGCACTACTGGAGCAAAGAAATGTAGAGAGGGCTGGCAGAATGTAACCAATAACTGTACAAATGGTTAGTCAACTAAAAGTAAAAAATAAAAATATGAATAAATTTTTCCTGTTTTATAGTTGCTTGCAATTTAGTGTGTCAATCACCAGGTGGTACATGTACACATAATGGGACTTGTCAGTGTACTATTGGTTGGTCAGGAGATGGCTGTGACATACCTCAGTGTATTGAAGGGTGTCATCCTCAAGGAGGATATTGTACTGAGCCATATCAATGTTTGTGCTACAATAATTGGAATGGAAGTCTTTGTAATGAGTCGTTTTGTACTGTTAACTGTAGTTCAATAGGAGGACAATGCCTGGTACCTGATCAGTGTACATGTTTTGCTGGTTATACAGGACCTGCATGTGAAATTGGTATACAAATAAAATATCATTGATGGTTGATTTTTTTAAATTATAGATTTACTTCCTTGTGATCATCAAATGCCTTGCTTTAATGGAGGTCATTGCTCCCATACTGAATCTCCTGGAGAATATGTTTGCTCCTGTCAAGTGGGTTACATGGGAATGAATTGTGAGGTTAATATTGACGTCTGTGCTACTCAACCATGTCTTAATAATGGAACATGTATTGTAAGTTAAATATTGTAGTCCCAAACATAAAAAAGATGGAAATTAAGAGAATGGGATGTGTCTTAATATAGTTGTGTTTATAGAATGAAGATCCTGGCAATTACAGTTGCATATGTTCTGCTGGATGGACAGGAAAATCTTGTCATTTCTCAATTGAATATTGTGAATCAAACCCATGTATTAATAATGGAACATGTGTGAATCTTCCAAATGCTTACTATTGTAACTGTTCAAGTCAATATGAAGTAAGTTAAAACAGAACATAATTAAATTTCAAAGTAGCCTGTTCTATATTTAGGGACTGAACTGTGAACTAGCTGTTAACGCTTGTCTTCCTGATCCTTGCCAAAACAACTCCACATGCATTAACCATGTTACTAGTTACTCTTGTGAATGCAATGAAGGATTCACTGGCCATGACTGTGAAAGCATAATATCATCATCATACACTACAGCATCGCTGCCATCGCCTTCTGCAAATCCCCCCACTACAACCATAGATACTACAACAAGTCAAACTAGTATGCTAATAATGATAATAATATTAATATACCTTTTTTTAGTAGTAGGTCCAATTGTTGGAGGTATTGTTGGTTCATTGTTTCTAACAATACTCTTGATCACAGCTTTTGTTGCAGTATCAGTTATAGCATCGTGTTTTAAGAAAAGGAAAATGAGGAACCACAGTAAGACAATAATCTAATTGATTAATTGCTATGTTTACCAAAATACAGAGGAGATTCACACAAGTGATGCAATGGATAACGTAGCTACTATTACTCCATTGCCTAACCCAAGTTATGCAGTGATTCAAAGAGCATATGGTGATAATGATGAGGACTTATACATATGAGAAAATAGATCTTTTTATCCCATATTAAATATAAACTACTTACTATACATGGTACAAAAATTTGTCATGCAATCAAATAATTCAATTAGATACAAGTAGATATACTGCCATTACTATTCATTCATTCATTCATGCATGTGCATGTACAAATTATTCTTACTATCATTATTAATAATCATACTAACAATGTTAAAACAAAATAACACAAAAAAGACAATGAAAAAAGGAAAATCCAGAGGATTGAGAGAAAAAAACAAATAAATCAACACAGGGGAAAGATGGAGAGAGAGAGAGAGAAACAAAATAGTCATATAACCACATCCACTGATGGTGGAGAGATGGGCGCACCACATTAGTGGACATAACCATGCCATACTACCAATAGCCTCTGAAAAAGATGGCTTGTAGTTCTTACTGTTAGAAATTGAGTTAGTAATGAATGATGATCTCCACCAAAGACATTTCAATGTCTGCACCCACCACAGGCACAGTGACAGACCATATCTATCAGTAAAATAGCAAAATATGCTAATTAAAATTTCCCCAACCTTCCTCTTAGCCACTTTATTAAGAATTTGTAGGAGTCACATTCCCATGGATCCAGACTTCTTCAACAACCAGCCCAAAACAAAGGATTAACCCAGCTATTAAAAAACAAGAATAAAAGGGTAGGCTTATTGTCTTACCAAAAAGGAGTCTGAGTATAATAATGTAGGGAATTGTTGAAATCTTTCTCAAAATCTTTATATCAAGCCTTTCCTAGAGCATTTAATATGGGTGTGGTCTTTAATGGTAAACCACGCCCCGACATGAGAACACACCCACGTGCGCCCACGTGCTCATTCAAAATGTCTTCTAGAGTCATTGTAAAAAATCTTCCCAGCAAAGCAACGAGCAAAGAACTTAAGGAGCATTTCTCAAAATGTGGTCAGGTAATTAATGCATTGATCTAAATTACTTTGAATCAAATTTATTCAATTAATTATTAATTAATTAACACATTGATATGATTTTGAGTTAATTATCTTTAATTTTTATATTTTATAGATAACAGATGTTAAACTCATGTACACTCGTTCCGGTACTTTCCGTAGATTTGCCTTCGTTGGTTATTCCGATTCATTTTCAGCCCAAGAGTCCATTAAATATTTCAACAATACTTACATTGGCACATCAAAGATTCAAGTAATTGAAGCAAAGTCTTTCGGAGACTCTTCCATCCCTCGTCCTTGGAGCAAATACTCTACCGGCAGTTCAACCAATCAAATCTATGAGAAGAAGAGGAAGTCAACTAAGGACTCAAGTATTGACGAGGAGGAACAGAAAGAGAAGGAGGAGGGGAGGAAGAGTAAGAGACTTAAGCTCAATGAGGATTTTCATCAAAGTCAGTTAGTGTCACTTGTCAACGAACTCGAGGAATTAAAGTCAGAGCCTGGTTTTATGGAGTTTCTTGCTGCTAACGAGCGTGGGTGTTCCTCGGAGACGTGGTCAAATGAAGGGAAGGGCAGCTCAGAGAATGATAAGAAAAAGAAGAAACGAAAGGAAGTGGAACTCAATGAAGATGAAGACAATAATTGTAAGGAACTATTATAAAATTGTATTACTTTGGTTATTTAAGTCTATGAAGTCTTTACTTATGCACAGGGTTTCCCACAAAGCATGCTAAGTGAGCTAAACAGTAAATAGCATTTTAAAACAACTTTTAAAATTCATTAAAAAATTCAATTTTGATTGGAATCAGCTCAATGTTGATACACATCATAACGAAATGTATATGTATTAGAAAAAATTATAAAAATGGAGGGCCCTCACCTAGCCATTTCATTAAATTTGGTCACGCAGAGGCTTTGGCCCAATTTTTGAGCAGCTTTAAAAATTTGTAAAAAAATTCAAACTTGATCAGAATCAGCTCAAACTTTCTACACAACATAAGTACATTTATGTGCATTAGAAAAAAATTTTAAAATGAGGAATTCTTATCTTTTCATTTTTGACATAATTTGGCCAGAATCCCTGTACTACAGTACAGGGACTTGGGCCCAATTTTTGAGCTTCTTTAAAAATTTGTAAAAAATTCAAACTTGCTTGGAATCAGGTCAAACTTTCTACACAGCATTAGTACATGTATATGTATGTGAAAAAATTATAAAAATGGGAAATTTTCTACTTTTCATTTTTGGTGAAATTTGACCAAAGTCCCTGTACTGTAGTACAGGGACTTGGCATATTTTTTGAGCATCTTTAAAAATTCATAAAAAATTCAAACTTGATTAGAATCAGCTCAAACTTTCCACACAACATAAGTACATGTATACATATAAGAAAAAAATTATTAAAATGGAAACTTTCATCTTCACATTTTTGACAAAATTTTTGGACAACTTTAAGCATTTCATAAAAATCCGAACTTGTTTGAAATAACAAGAACGTACATGTACATGAGCAGTTTTGAGCACTATACCATAACCCTGTGGGAAACCCTGCTTATAAATGTATGTGTTACTTAATATGTGATTTATTGTGTATCCTTTTTATTGTAGTAGCACGAGTTCCTTCCTCGGTCTCTGATCTAGAGTTCCTTAAATCAAAAGTTGTTGAACACGTGACAGACGAAACAAGAGAAGAAGAGAGAGAGGAAGAGAGTGAGCCATCACCTCCCCTCCACACCATTAGGATGAGAGGTCTCCCTTATGATGCATCAGAGAAACATGTACACAAGTTCTTCTCTCCAATCCAACTATCAAACATCAGACTACTGAAAGATGATAGGGAGAGGTGCAGTGGACTGGCCTTTGTTGATGTAATGAGTAAGACTGACTTGAAAGAAGCAATGAAGAGGAATAAAGGAAGGATGGGTAGACGATATATTGAGCTAGTTGTGGACACTGGGTCAAAAGAGAAGACTGTTAAAGAGAAGAGTAAGAGGCCCTGGGAAGAGAAGGAAGATGAGGAGACTGTGGAATCAATAGCAGACTCTGGTCAAATCTTTATTCGTAATCTTCCATATACAACTACTGAAGAGGAACTGACTGAGTTATTTGAAGAGTATGGTCAATTATCTGAGATTAATTTACTGGTTGATAAGAGCACTGGATCCTTCATTGGTCTGGGATATGTAACGTTCATGTTCCCTGAACATGCTGTCAAAGCATTCTCAGAATTAGATGGTCAAGTATTTCAAGGGAGGCTCTTACACTTGCTGCCTTCGAAACCTCCAAATAAGGAAGTGGGTGTGGTCAAGAGTATTGAGCCCGAGACACAGTCATCATCGTTTAAGTCGAAACAAAAAGAAAAATTGAAATTGGAGGCTGGAAGTTCGCATAATTGGAATACTCTGTTCTTAGGATCTAACGCTGTTGCTGATTCCACTGCTGATCAGTTTGGTGTGAGAAAGAGTGAACTATTGGATCTTGATACCACTCAGTCACTGGCTGTGAGACTAGCACTCGGTGAAACACAACTGGTCAACGAAACAAGAGAGTTTTTAGAATCACACGGTGTGAAGCTTAACTTGTTTGATACTGATGAAAACGAGGTTACAAGAAAAAGAAGCAAAAATGTTGTATTAGTAAAGAATCTCCCGTTTGGTACCAGCACTAAGGAATTAACCGAATTATTTGGACCCTTTGGCTCCCTATCTTGTGTCATTCTACCTCCTGCTGGTATATCAGCTCTGGTCGAGTACTCCTCCTCTAATGCTAAAGTTGCCTTTAAGAAGTTGTCATACTGCGAATTTAAGCACCTTCCACTTTACCTGGAGTGGGCTTCATTTGGAGTAATGAGTGGTGAACCCTCTCAGCCTTTAAGGATACTGGTAAGGTTAAAGAACCTTTGAATATTTTTTACAACAGAATGCTCCAAAGGATATGATAGTACTAAGAAACGTTCTTTTTGAGGCCTCGAAGAAAGAGCTCTTCCAATTACTTTTAGCTTTTAGTAAAATTAAAAGCATTCGTTTACCAAAGAAACAGAATGATAATTCTCATCATGGATTTTGTTTCGTTGAGTACTCTACTACTGAAGACACCCATAGTACTTTTGGGTGTCAACTCATTTGTATGGGTGGAAGGTGGCGGTAGTGTTAATGACATTTGTGCTAAGACTGCTCTTAGCCCCAGATTCTCAAAAAATAATTATGTTAATTTGTACCTTCTTTGTAAGAATAATCTGATTTCTTACACATTTAACTTAGTGAATTTCTGTTATGACAGTGTGTTCTTTTTGTTAAGTTATAATGAATCTGTGTATTATTAACACTGGGGCGTA